CTTCGGTTCGCCCGATGACGACCCACCCTATCTAAGTGCAGAACAACAGAACGTAGAACTTGTTTAATCTAACATGATTCTCATTCATAAAGGGTAAATGTGTAATAACATGCAAAGCCAAGCTTTCAGTATATAACACTAACAAGTATAAATTTCAATATTGTAACATCAATATAAGTTCACTAAATTTGGTTCCCATGAGTGAGAATCTCACTTTAACTCAATCTTCTCTCACAGTATATTTTGGTTTTCAAATGAATTTTTGATTTATTCATATAATTTTAAGTTTTAGGTCTTAGATGTTTTAGTACATAGCAATAGCAAGTGGAAATTCATTGTGAATTGATTCCGATCAAAATACTTAATGGGTAGAGTCGAAAGAGTCAAATTATAAATGATTATCATCAAGAAAATTTACATGATATAATGGTTTGAATCTTTCAAGATACTAAGATTGTCGGTAATGAATAGTTCTCAAATGAACGTTTTTCGATGTATGACTCAATTCTCAAGGCTACGATCACGTGTGAGATGCAACACAAAAGCTTCACAATGTGTAAAATGCCAACCCGGTTGTGTGTCTGAAAACCAACTCAGCACTTCGTATTATCTAAATCTAAAGAAAGCTAAAGAAGATCCTTTATTTGGAACCAACTCCAAAGACTCCTATTGGCAAATAAGAAGCTCAATATAAATCATTGCTTGTGCAAATCCTCTATTTCCTTGTCATGACTCCAGATCAGCTAAGATGCATCAATCTCGATCACCGCACTAACCCCCTCTGATACCATGTTGAAACCAAAGATGAATTTGGGGAGAAGATCTCCATTTCCGTATTATTTCATATAAATGTTCTTAGCTCACATTATGCACGTTAATAGTATTTAAATCCCTAAACACATGCACTAAGACCCTAAACGACGTCGTTAGAATGTTCTCTCTAATCTAATGAGAGACAACGTCGTTCCAAAATAAAAAACAAATAGAAAAAACAAGCGCGACCTTATAAGTGTAGTGGGCGTCTTCAACCTAGCTTAAAACTGAACAAAAAGAAAATAGCAGAGTAAAAATGGTGTGCTCGATATGAATTCCAACAGCCCCCCTCAAGTTGGGCATGGAAAACACATGCCTAACTTGCACAGTAACACTCGAGCCTATTTTCCTGGAAAGATCTTGATGAAGACATCTGCCAACTGAAGACGAGAAGATAGGTACATAGGCAAGACAAAACCAGCTTTAAACTTGTCCCTAACAAAGTGGCAGTCAATTTCAAGATGCTTTGTACGTTCATGGAAGACCGGATTAGCTGAGATGTGAAGTGCAGTTTTGTTGTCACACCACAAGGGAATGGGGAAGGAAATGGGAACATGAAAGTCTTGCAGTATATAGGTTATCCTCAAAAGTTCTAAAACAGTAGAGCTCATGTCTCTATACTCAGCTTCGGCAGAAGATTTTGAGACTGTGGGTTGTTTCTCGGTTTTTCAAGACGCAAGGAAGCCACCGAGTTTCTTGTAATGATCATGAGGTGATTGAGGTGATTGAGCCATGCCAAAGACAGCAAGTTTGGCACTGAGTTCCTTGTTCCACTCCCTAGAAGCCTGTTTTAGGCCATACAAACTTCTTTGCAATTTGCAAACTTGACCTGAAGTGCCCTTCTTATACCCTTGTGGCAATTGCATGTAAACTTCGTCACTTAAGTGTCCATACAAAAAAGCATTGCTCATATCTACTTGATAGAGAAACCAACCCTTCATGACTGCCAAGCAAATGAACACCCTTACTGTACTAGTTTAGCAATAGGTGCAAATATGTCAAAAAAATCAAATCCTTGTTCTTGATTGTAGCCCTTAGCCACAAGTCTAGCTTTAAATCTCTCAACAGACCCATCTGCCTTTCTTTTGATCTTATAGATCCATTTAGAACCAATGGCCTTTTTTCCAACAGGCAAATCAGTGAGCACCCAAGTTTTGTTGTGCTCAAGTGCCTCAATCTCTTTGTTCATGGCTTCTATCCATGCTGGGTGCTTTTTTGCTTCTCCATAATGTGATGGCTCTTTGTCAATAGCAATATTAGCCATGTACACATGTATATCCATGTCTAGATCTGCACTTCCATACTCCAAAGTGCTGCAGATATAATCATCTTGCCAGATGGGTGCTTTTCTTATCCTATCTGACCTCCTTGCTGTGAAATTGTCAACTCAGGAGGTGAAATGACAGTTCCATTAGTATTGCCTGCAACATAATCATCATCTGTGCTCATGGACTGAGGTAAAGTTTCATTTATTTCCCTTGTAGAAGTGAGGAAAGGAAAAACAGTGTCTAGGAAGACCACATCTCTGGAAACAAACACCTTCTTGGTATTTAGGTCAAACAAATTATAGCCCTTTTTTCCTGCTACATAACCCAAGAAAGTGCACTGTCTTCCTCTAGGATCAAACTTTGATTTCAAAGTATTAGTGTTGGCTGCAGATGCTAGCAACCAAAAGGCTTCATTCTTTGATATTCTGGTGCAGTGTTGTATAATCTCTCATAGGGTGTTTTCCAGTTCAACAGTGATGATGGTAATCTATTTATGATGTATGCTGCAGTGAGCACAGCATAGGGCCAAAATTTCAAGGGCAAGTTTGATTGAAAAATGAGTGCTCTTCCTACTTCTAGTAGGTGTCTATGCTTTCTCTCAACAACACCATTCTGTTGAGAAGAGTACACACAACTTGTTTCATGCAGTATACCTTTATCCCTAAAGAATTTAAGAAGTTCACCATCCAAGAATTCTTTCCCATTATCTGATCTAACTCTCTTAACATTCATTCCAAACTATGTTTTTGCCATGTTGATATATCCTTATATTAGCTTTCCTGTCTGAGACTTATGCATCATTAGGAAAACCCAGGTTCCTCTACTAAAACATCCACAGTGGTTAAGAAGAAAGGAGTATGAGTTATAGAATTCTCTCTACATGGATTAATTCAAAGCATGCAGTAGTTTGTATACTACTGCTTGGGAAAGGTAATCTGTGCTCTTTAGACTTATAGCAGATATCACATGAGTGTAGCTTTTGCTTACCATCTTCACTGAAGTTTGGAGCTAAAAAACTCACGTGCTGCAAAGTGGAGTAAGAGGCATGTCCGAGACATTTGTGCCAAGTTTCTAGTGATATATTCCAAGAGATTATGCCCCTTTTTTTCTGTTCCCTTCTTGTTGTAGACATACAGATTCCTCATAGCCTTTCTTTCACCCAGCACTCTTCCACTCTCACTACTGTATAGCTGACACATTTCTTTTGAAAATTCCCATCTCAGATTCTTTTGTTCACACAATTGCATCACTGATATCAAGTTGTATTTAAAACTTGGCACTAATAGGACATCATGTAGCACTAAGTCATTATCCAGGACCACTTCTCCTTTGTGTATCACTGTCTTCATGGTTCCATCTGGCAAGCAGACCATGACTGGCCTATGGAGTGCTTTTACATTTTGCATTTGTTCAACATTTTTACAAATATGACTGTTGGCTCTTGTATCAACGATCCACTCATTTGCATATTCTCCCTGTAAAGTTGACAATGCATAGTATACTTCATCTTCCTCATTACTTCCTGTAAAGCTCACACACTGAGCATAATCAACCTTTCCTTCTAGTTCCTCCTTCCCTTTGATGTATTTTGTAAGTTCCTGAAGTTGTTGGATGACTGAGTTAAGGTCCTATTGCTTTCCATAATCCTTATGATCCTTCTTTGAGTTGTTTGATTCAGGTCCTATTGCTTTCCATAATCCTTATGATCCTTCTTTGAGTTGTTTGATTCTCCATGGACATATGTTTCAACAACATTTCCATAGTTTCTCCCTTGTTGTTCTCTTAAATCCTTGAACCATTCTGGCACTCCATGAATTTTGAAACATGTAGCAACTGTGTGCCCTCTCATCCCACACTTATCACACACTAGTCTTGCCTTTTCTTCCCTGGTCAACCTGTTACTTCATCTACCTCTTCCTCCCTGCCATTGATTTCCAGCATTTCCTCCTCTACTTTGAGTGTATACTCCTCTGCCATAATTTTCTGTTCTGGCCACCATAGCCATATTATTTATGATAGTTTAAAATAGCGATGCAAGGAAAGTAAAAATAATTAGTACGTCACTCGCGCATTTCCACTTGATGTTAAAAATGACATATTATTTATGATAGTTTAAATTATTTTTCTAAATATAATATTAGTAGTGGATGAATTGTATTCATTATCACCATTATCATCATAAATAATATTATCAAACAACAGGAATCCGTGATTCTAGAAACAACAACATATAATTGATTATTACCACAAATAGCATATATTTTCTTAATAAAAAATTCAAATTAAATAAATTTTTCTTAAAAAAATATTAGTTATATTTGACAAAAATATGTATTTGTCACATTAATGACATTACTTGAAACTTTTTTTTTAAAAAAAAAAAGTCTCGATAATAACATAATTTTTATCATTTTTTAATAAGTAAAGACATTATTTCAATTCTATAGATAAAATGGTATGAATAATTCAAATGAAAACGTACAGATATGAGTTACTTAAATTTAAAAAAATATATCAAATACTTAAAAATTACAAAAATGACTCAATTTAGATACCTATATTTTTTCACTTTTTCTAATTGAAAAATAAATTTAATAATTTATTTCTTTTCAACACATGTATTCAAGAATATCAACTGATTGACCATTCAATCCAGAAGAAATTATAAGCATGAAATAACTCGAACTATATAATACAAAGCAAAAATCCGAAATTTAATATGAAATATTCGACATGTATCAACGAACTATTATGGGACATACATTGCATTACAGACGTATAATCGTTACACTTGAACCGAGTCATCTTACTTCACCTCTTAGAAAGAAAATAACATAAATCAAAACACTTCATAGCATGGCAATACCTTCATTCATACATTTAACTTTTACACCGAGCAGCCGTTCGTGGAATGCAAATTTATTTTTTCGAAGAGGTAAGCTCCATTTGAAGTGATTTCATATCTTTCGGTTTGCGAGTTTCAAATGTTTGGCCGAGCTTTTTTCTTCTTCGATTGCACCAAACCCACGCTACTCGAATGATAGCAAGAGAAAGAACCAACGCTGCAATTAGAATAACAACGAGCAATTTCTGTGATACTTTCTTTGTTTTCTGAGATTCCTCACGACAATCAGGAAGATTGGAAATTTTATTGGTGGCGCAAAGGTTCGGATTGTTTAAAAAACTTTTTTCGTAAACCGCATTATTAAACTCATCGGGAAGTTTCCCCGTAAGTTGATTCGAGGATAGGTTCAAAGAAGTGAGCCTCAATTGTCCTAATTGAGGCGGGATATCACCCGAAAGGCGATTAGAGGATAAGTCCAAATCAAGAAGGACAGGTAAAGAACTGAGCGAATAAGGAATCGGGCCAGATAATTTATTCCTCGAAAGATTCAAAGTAGTGAGAGATTTCCATGAGATTATCTTAGATGGCAACTCACCAGAAAGCGAGTTTCCATCGAGCAATAAGGTGGTAAGGTTGCGAAGGGCCGTAAGTTCTTCTGGAATCGAGCCTGATAAATTGTTGTTACTTGCCAAAAACACAACTAAACTCCCCCAAGAAGAAACCCCACTCGGAATTTCACCCGAAAACTCGTTGTTAGTAATTTCTAAACGAGCGAAATTCGGCCCTACTTTGCTCGGGAGCTTGCCGGAGAACTTGTTATCACTCAGCATCACACTATACATTTCTTTTGCAGTCCAAATACCCAACGGAACTTCGCCGGACATGTTATTACTGTACAGCTGCACCGTGTCTAGGGTTTTGCAACTCCCGAGTGATTTAGGAATTTCGCCGGTTAAGTGGTTCTTAAAAGCAATCGCACCAGTCAAAGCACCGCCGGAGCACAAATTTTCCGGCAACTTTCCGGTGAATTGATTCTCGCAAACTTCGAAATCTTGCAGCTTGGAGTAAACACCCATATCGGCCGGCAATATTCCACTCAGATTATTGGTGAAAATCTTGAAATACTTGAGATTAGGCAAACGCCCTATGCTCTGAGGTATTTCACCGAACAGGTTGTTCATAAACAAACCCAAATACTCCAATTTTTCAAGCTTGCCGATATCATCAGGGATTGTTCCAGTCAAGTTGTTTGCAGATACATCGATCTCAATCAGGTCCAGTGACCCGATTACCTGAGGGATCCAACCCGAAAAACGATTGTTGTAAAGATAAAGCAAACTCAAATTCTTCAGCGAGAACAATCCGTTTGGAATCGGACCCTCCATTTCGTTTACATACAGAGCCAAAACGCTTAGACCTGGTAGGTTCACGAAGCTCTCAGGTATTTTTCCGATCAAATTCGCCTGAGACATCCAAAGGTAGTACAATTTCTTCAAATTTCCGAACTCCAGCGGCACGACCGCCGGCCGGAATGGGTTGTTCGCCAGCGCTAGATACTCGAGATTCGACAAATTCGAAATCCCCATAGAGTAACTTCCATTAAACAGATTACTGTAGAGATTCAGAGTTCTCAGATCTGTTAAGTTCCCGATCTCCGGAGGTACGTCGCCGGTGAAGTTGTTTTCCGACAGGTCGAGGTGGTGGAGTGATCGGAGCCGGCCGATGTTCGTCGGAATTTCCCCCACGAAGTAGTTCTGAGAGAGGTCGAGGTACTGGAGCGTTGAGCAGTTTGAAACGCCGGCGGGGAATTTGCCGGCGAGATAGTTGCGACCTAGATCGAGAACTGTTAGATTCTGGAAATCGCAGATGGAGTCCGGGACAATGCCGCTGATGTTGTAGTTGTTGAGGATGATTCCGGTGACGGAGCCGTCGCCGCCGCACCGAATTCCCGGCCACTGGCAGGGCGGCGACGTGGAGTTCCAGGTGTCGAGGACTTGTGGGTCACCCCATTTTTGCTTGAGGTCGAGTAACGTGGCTCTCTCGGTCGGGGAGAACTGGGAAATTACGAAAAAGGGTATGGATTGGATGAGAAATATGATAAAGGTGAGCTGGGTTTTGGTTCGGGACAAGGGTACTTTAGTCATTTCAATATTTTTTGCCCTTTTTTACTCTGTTTAAACTTTATAGTTCTATTGAACTTGGGAGTTTACTAAAAATGGGAGTTCAAAACTTTCACTTGGTTTAATCTTCAAAGAATGTGAGATTGGATTTTAAACAAAAAATTACAAGGAGTAGATAGGGAAAAAGGTATTATTTAGTTATTTTAATTGAAAGTATCAATTAATTGGAATTTATGTTTGAACTTTGGGGTATGTTAATAATCTAGATTGGAGAAATTTTCACAACATCACAGGACTTACATAGTTTTCTTTATTGAAATTTGGAAGTCCTTAATCTTTCAGTCTACACTAATTATAGTGGTGCTTGAAGAAAAAAACAAAAAAAAAACAAAAAAAAAAGGTTGAAGGCAAAAGTTGTAATGTTTTTCAAACTTTGAATGTTCAATTTGTCAGCGAGACAGTACCATCTTTCATTATATTGTGGACTCATGGTTTGTATATTGTCTCCATATTTTTTGATTAAATATTTAAAATAAATTTGTAATACAGATTTTAGAGTAGATCAATCTAACGTTAAGCAGGTTGCGTTTGAGTAAAATTGATACTTATCTTTTGAAATGTCATACTTTTGTTTGAATTATTTTTTTAAATATAATATTCGAATAGAAAGTACACACATTTATTAAAGACGTGTTTTTCTTCCGTGAAACATAACTGCACCATGCATTTATTTTTATGGAAAGAATTGTGTAATCTTTTTCTCTATAATTTGTTATTCTATTTATTACTTGTATAAATTAGAAAATTAAATTAATTGTTGTTTATCTAATGTTATAGCTATAAAATAGCGATGCAAGGAAAGCATGAATAAGTATATTTTAGTTATATAATTATAGATTAATAGTTATGTACTGTTCTCTCGTTCTTTATTAACTAGTGGAGCATATTCTTCATTGTTAGATTTTGCAGAATTTTGACGGATTGGTTTGACTATGACTGTTCTTTCTTCCCATGCTTTTAAGTAACAAAATAATAAAAATAAAGACAATGGTAAAATACTTTGACTGAAGAACTTGAATATTTCAGTAAGTTTTTTACAGATTTGTAGGAGTACTATAATATTCAAGTTCTTCAGTCAAAGTTTTTTACCATTGTCTGAGAAGATAAGGATGTCATTCCCATGCAATGCTGTCTAAAAATGGAAACATATTTTAAAAATAGACTTTGAAACAATACAGATTGTAAAGGCAGATGGAGCTGTTTTTTTCTTTATATCTTAAAAGTGGTCCAAAATCTTGACAAAGAATACTATATATATATATAATAAAAATAAATAAATAAAATACTTCCCTCCACTTCTCCCATTTTCCTTCTGGAAACCTGCTAACTTGGTTTAACTAATTTACCAAGCTGTTATATAAAACTAGTTGTTGGTGAATTCGCTCATTAAGGCTCGAGCCATCACGACTAACTTGGCAAACAATCTTAGCTTGAAGTTAATGAGTCGAGTTGAATTTTATCGTTAATGCTTGATAAGTAAGGGTTTTGCGTAATTTTCAAGCTCGATATATTTATCAACTCGTTAATTTAACAAACCGAACTAAACTCTACCTTAAAAGAGTTCAACTTGAACTTAAGTATTAGAAACTCAAGTTCAACTATTGACACCTTTATGAAGAAGTACTACCTTGAGTGGGTAGGTAAATACTCTTGAGCTTTATCTTATAAAAGCTTACTTGTGTAGTTTTTCAAATAAGTCAGTTACAATTTTTATTTCAGTTAAATTATCAATTAATTATACCAAACATTGTTATCATATCAATTAGCTTTTAGTCACCGGCCATAAAACTATCAGTTATAAATTCAAAATTCACTTATAAATTATCAACTATCTTTTCAGTTATCACCTAATTTATTGATTAGTTAAGTTTTATTGAGTGTCTAAAACAGTGTATATAACATA